ACTTATGAATATATTACTAAACAAAAAAAAAACAATGAAATGCACTTAAATGGCAATGGCTGTTTTATTTAATCTCGAGCAACAGCCATGAGTTAATCATATCACATTCTAACATTATGCGAAGCTCTTTGAAAAAACTTCTGCTCTTAATAATTTTCTCTGCTTTTCTTTCTTTTTTTCATTTTACTATAAATTATGGCACCGATTATTCTACTTACAATAGCACAAATAATTTTAATCAAATAAACAATCCCTTAGACGAAAAATACATGACTTATTTACCGCACAGTGGATTCCACAATCAACGGATCTCATTAGAAAATGCCATATTTGTTGCTTGGTATTTAAATCGGACGTTAATAGTTCCACCAATATTATACTTCACTGATATGCTTCCGTTTGGAATGCAACCATTTAATAACCTCTATTCTCGTCTTTCTAAACTAAGTCCGAAAAATTCTACATTTGTACAATGCAGAAAGGGATTATGCAAAAAAGTATCATACACAATGTATAGTTGGGAGGAACTATTGGATTTGAAATTTGTAAAACGCAACATTCGAATTATTCATCGCCCGGATTTCCTTTATGAACATTTATTGTTACACCTAAACATTAGCAAAGATCAAGCGTTCAATTTAACGGCAGACAAGAGAAGATACACACAGCGTTATTATGATTCTAGGGATTCTACGCTAGCGCTAGATATATTTCACGAGAGGGTGAACTTAGAAGACTTACTAAATCGCACGGAAAAGCTGCTTCATTTCGGGAGCTTGTTCTCTTCGAAACGCGTGGTGAAGCAACTACAAAGTAGTAAAAAATTTTGGGATAGTTTACTGCATGAGATGGTGCCCAATAATCCTATAATTTTGGAGGTAGTAGAAAAGATTACAAGTAGAATCGGAAAAGCAAGAGCAAATGGTTATATAGGTATCCACGCACGACTAGGGGATCACTTCTCGAAAAAATCAGAAGCGACAATACAGGGAATCATTGATCGATTGAAGACCGATTTCTCCGACCCCAAATCTAATCCGAACAATAACACAAACACTGAGAATGTCATAGACCCTGACTTTAATAAAGCTTGTTATCCCAAATTTAACTCTAAATCTCCGATAATAATATATCTGGCGACCGATAGCCACAGAAATGACACGTCACTTCGTCCGTTCCTGGAAACGTTCCCGTGTGTTTACATGCTAGATGATTTTCAGATTGAACCAGCGAAGGATATAGTGAATCCATTGGATGGCACAAATATGTTCAAATACTTGGTTTCTCTTGTGGATTTGTTAGTAGCATCGCGAGGTAGCAAGTTCTATGGGACACCGTCGAGCACTTTTTCCGGATATGCTCAAAGGTTGAATACTTTTTTTCATGAATAGAAAGGGTCATAAGTAAAAAGACTATATTATGGGCATTGGAGGTGGTATTCTTATTACACGGATTTTTGGTTAGCTAGTTTATAGACTTCTTTTATAGTGAACAGACAGATTATATAGAGTAATTAGATACTGTATGCTTCATGCTATTTTATAATAGATTTTTTTTTTTTTTTTTGCTTTTACGAATTTGAGTATAAATAAATGGGATACAAAAAAAATCTTGTGAAAGAAGAATGCTATACTATAAAATACTCACTAAATTGCACCTGAAGACCGAATATACCAACTATTCAAAGATAAACAACCCTAGTACTTATTCCGTATTTTGTAGATCAAGAAACTATTAATTACTGAAGAAGAAAGATTGAACAACAAGAATCTGAAACAGATATTAACAAAAGAAATTGAATACAGAATGAGTTGGTTGGGTTTTGATTTCTGTTCGAGCTTCGCAAAGTGATCTACAGTAGTGACTTAGTGACTTGCAGGCAATGATACTAATAGTTGAAAAGGTATTTACCTGAACTGTTAGTGGAGTGATAAATTACTCTCAAAGTTACACTTAAAGTAACAATAGTCAAGATAAATGAGTTAGTTAGATATTTAGCTTTAGTGTTACATTGATATGTAAAGTTTACAAAATGTTTAATAAAGTACACATAACTAGTCTGACAAAGAAAAAAAAAAAATAAATAAAATAAAATAAACCTCAAAAACTGGTTAAAAACTCTAAGTTTTTGTAATAGACTTATAAGAAATAATTTTATTTTAAAAATGATAGACATAAAATGTTGTAGAAAATATATTGAAAAAGAATTAAAAAGATAGATAATAAATATAAAAAAAATCTACAATTATATTCAAAAAAGAATTTGAAATATAAGATATAAAAAATTAATCATATAAGAATAACTATAAGAAATTATAGAATAAACAAGACAAAAAATCTTAAAATTCTTCAGTTAGAAAGTTACATCTTCAATAAAAAAAGGGCTATTACTAGAAAAAAGAAACTTAAAAGATAAAAGTTTTAAATCTTATCTCAATAAAATTCTGTTTAGTAATTAAATGTTGACTTTTGTGAATTTCGTTTTCTAGGTGAGTAACCTTATCCTCAACAGCTTTTTGATGTTCTAATAACTAATTAATTTTCTTATGAAGACTTTCGTGAAACTCCAAAAGCCTCTCGATTACTATATTAGAAACTAAATACATAAATCAGTATTTATTTAAATAGTTACATTTTTTTTAAATATACCTAAAGATTCTTTAGACATCCTCTTAGTAGGTGAAGATTCTAGAATATAACTGAAGTATCTTAATTATTTCTAGGACAATTCTATTTTCGTTTCAGCTTGAGATATTGATCTTTGACCTAGGGTATTGGAAGTACTCTTGGGCTTTTTGAAGGGCTTCGAAGTATCCTTTTCACTTGAGCTTGAACCTGAAATCATTTTTTGAAACATGTTATACATTTCTTTTCTTTTATTTGACATTAATAAAAAAGAAAGAACTTTAAAGACCTTATATAACACAAATTTCAAGAAATTATGTCATATTATAACTGCATACTACTCTTTGTCACCTTTCAAAAATTACTTCATAGCTTTAAAAATGAAACCATATTGACAAAATTATGACAACTTATAAATTAAATTTTTGATTGGTTAAATTAATCAGTATTTTATTGGTCAATTTATTTTAATATATATATTATTACTTTGAATATTTTCAAAGTTTTTTGAAATAAAAAATCTTTAAAGTTTTTATTATTAAAATTAATGAAATTATTTTTGTTTTACAAATTCTCAAAAATTTTTAAAGTTTTTTGAAGAATTTTTCAAAAATTTTCAGAAAAATTTTAACAGATGGAGATCTTCAGAGATCTCCATCAAAAAAATTTCCTGATGTAGGAGCAATGACAACTAATATTCTAGGAGAAACAGAAGATGAAATCAAAGCATATTTATGCAATATCTTTAAACTTCCACAAGAAAAAAGAAGCCTGTTAAGAAAAGAATTTATTAATAAAAATGAGTGAATTGTCTTTTGGGTACAAGAAGAAGAAGACATTACAAGATATATAGAAGAAATTAACTGAAAAAAAGACAATTTCATAATTTAACACATAATACCCTTAATTACCCTCAAGAAATAGAAAACAGAAAAAAAACTTAAACAAAAAAGTCTTTCAAGAATTTTAAATCAAAGAGAATACTGAAATCTGACATGTATATCTAATAGATGTGAATTATAAAATCAATAATAACTTTATAAAGGCACATCTAAAAAGATATGGAGAAGTTCAAAATGTTTATATATACAAGGTAAATACAAAACCACGTATAAAGGCTTATATCAAATGGCACAAATATCTCAGCAATCTGAATGACTCCAATTAGTACAGAAATATCAAGAGCTATATTCTCTAAGTTTGAGCTCAATGACAGTGAAATTAATCAGATATTAATTGAGAAAAATGATAATTTAGCAAAACTCCTGGGTACTGACAAAACCTATACTAGTCTGATAGCCAGAGCATTGAATAGTATTCAAGCTAAGACATACTATACACCCATATACTCAAGAAGTATAACTTTATAGTAGTCTGCTTCAAAATGAAAGAAGAAAGAGATAAGGCATACAAATAATATATTTTCTTGTTGGAATATTATCTCTTTTAAAGTATCAAACATACTTCCAAAATAGAAAGACAAAATCTTAAAAATAAAAATAGAAATACAAGATTTAGATTTAGAAGCATAAAAGTAGATAAGGAATCAACATTAGATATACAATCAAATAACGAATCAACAGACTCTATTTCTACTTCACCAAGTTATCATAGCTTCAGAAACCAGAGACAAATTAGATACAAAAGTCACAATAG